TTGCGAAGTGGAGCAATTAAGTCAATCACAAGTGCCGTCGTGTCGCACCTTGTCGACACTAATCACATTGTAAACGTGACCGAAGCGTTCCGATCCCTGTATAGAGTTAAGACGGGATGGTCTAGACACGTGCGGTTTCGCATTCTAGCCACAGCGGAGGCAGTTTCCATCCGTCTTCACAATCCCCCTCTGTGTGCTCAGAAACAATTTGTGCAAGCACTCAAGCTCCCATGGCCGGATCGCTGACAAGTGACTTGTTATGCAACATCGGAGCAAGTGATAATTGGGGACCAATTATGAAACAAGCTCTTGAATACTTTAATTACTTTCCCTCTCTTTTTCCTTGTAAATCCTTCTTTGATACTAGTCATATTTATTGTGTTGTAATGGCATGATTAAGACACACTGAAAACGAGCTGGTTTGCCAATTTGTGTTCTCATTATAATTAAAACTTTATCGTTTGGCTGTAGTCAATTACCATCCGTTGCTTATGTCTCTCTTTGGTTGTTACAAGAACCTGTGCCCACCAAAGAGATGTGGAAGGCTATATGATCTTGTTTAACGATAGTTGTTTGACTTAGGCCTCGATAAAATTGTGAACCTGAACGACAGCGCGATTTCGTAGTAATGGGAGCCAGCTGAACTGATCTGCGAAACGTTCAACTCATCGATCAACACAGTGGATTTATTGTGGTTGTTTGCCAGCCGTAAGGAGAATTTGGCTTGTATCAAAGCGTGATTTGTGTCCACAGTTTCAGTTTGTACAACCGTAAACCATGCACTTTCGTGCGTCGGTTTTGGTTGCGGTCTTCTGGCTGCCCATTTAGATGAAGAACAAGAGCAGATAGGAAAGTTGAAAGTAGAGTCGAACAGAAAATGAAGAATTTCGGTGGTCCAAGAGTGCGAAGAAATTGAGATGCACGAACGTCACTGTTTACGACACTCAGCAATTTTATTCAGTGTCTCTAACCATCGATTATGATTGTCCCGAGGTCCCCATCCAGGGAGCCTAACGGGACCCATGTGACCCAGATTCTTTGTTAGGGTTTTCATACCCTCATGCTAGGTCGTAGCATGACCACTCTTGGCTTTCTTCCACTCACTACCTGCCTCGATGAACATCGCTTGCCGTGGCAACCTGTCTGGTGACACGCGGAACACATGTCCCAATCAACGTAATCTATGGAGGTCGACCACTTGTTCCAGTGGGCGACCGCGGCTACCCAAGACTTACGCCTAACCTCAGAATTGCTCGTTTGGCTGCCCAACCACATTCGTGCAATGCTGAGTAGACAGCGCTGTTCAAACACCGACAGTTTATTTTGTCCTGTTTCCTTAATGGCCAAGTTTCTGCGTCGTATAGCAGAACTGACCGAATTGCAGCGGGATACACTCGACCCTCCACAGGCAACCGGATGTTGCGACGGCGCCACAGATGTCTCAAGTTGGCAAACGTCAAAAGAGCCTTCTGTATGCGAGTAGAAACTTCATCAATGATGCGTCCACCGGGTGAGATGTAGCTGCCCAAATAACAAAACTTATCCACCTGCTCTAATACTTCCCCAGTTAGAGTAAGGCTGGGTGTGGGACCAACCCAGTCTTGAAGTAACATTTAACACTTTGAAGGTGCAAAACGCATACCGAACATGGCTACAGTGGCGCCCAAGCTATCCATAAAAGCTTGCAACTTACCTGCATCTTCGCTTAGCAGCACAAGTGTTGACCAGAAGGAACGGCAGTCTTGAATCAACCCCCTCTAACGGTAACTAATGTCGATGTGGTCCATCTGGGTCCAGTGCAGTGAAGAGATTGGCGGTTTCCCTGTAAGGCGGTGTCGTCTCTTGTGCGAGTTGGTGCTGGATAGGAACAATCCATGGTCCGCGCAGAGTTGAAGTAGGCGATCTCCGTTGTCCGTCCGTTTGGCTGAGATTGCATGTGGTCCGCCAAGAAGCCTTTCTGATTCGTCCCACCTGAGCATCGAAGTCTGCGACAACTACTACGACGTCCGTTGATTGAACACTGCAGTAATTGAGAAAGATCCTTAGAGAAATCATCCTTCATTTCAGGTGTACTACAATCGGTCGGTGTATACACCGATATGAAGAATAAGCATAGTCACTACGCTCTGTAGCTGTTGACCCGTGCTGAACCGTTGAGACGTACGGCGCACAGTCGGCTACTGACTGGAATCCAGTCAAGAAGCGAGCACAACCTTGACACTTAGCGCAATCCCGACTTCAACAACACCGCGAGCTTCGGATACCGTATCGCCTGAAACACGAAGGGAGATAATTGAAGTAGGGTCTTGTATGCGTGTTTAGGAGACACGGTATACATCTAAATTGAAAGTTTCAAGGGTTCTGACCAAGACAGCCTGTTGATCAATCTGATATAGTGCGCGGACATTGAACGCGCCCAAGTGAAAAGGGAATTTCGGCTTCCAAAATCCTGTAACTTCTGATTGTTTAGCCTTGATGGTAAAACACTGATTGATATTCAATGGGTGGCGCAAACACGACGCATCTGTTAAGGTTTGGGATTGAGAAGAACTAGACAGATGGGAAAGATGGTTTTCCAAATGGGTGTCCAAGCCTTTAGAGCACGGCATACTTCGCGGCAGCCCACGCCGACGAAGAAGTGTTTCTTTGGGAACCCTAACCGGAGCCTTGGACTCAAAAGTCTGACCCACAAGGCAGTGGGGCGTAAATCCACCGCGGGATCGTGAAGGAAGCCTCCGCATGGGAGCCTCTATAGACCTGTCACACAAGGACTTCGGGTTTCTGTTCAGTGTTGTTCGCTGGTGCGTTGATTGTTAGTCCGCTTTTCGGAATCGGCTCTTAGCCTGACGCACCCAATGAGACAAGCGGAATGTGGACAGGACCTTGTTGGTTGGGGGATGCCCAGCTGGGGCGGGCGGTAGCTGGNAGTCCCAGGTCCCCCGCTCCTACGTCCATCTAGCGGGTTTTTTGACCGGCAAACTGCCCCTCGTGTTTATTTGCTAGAGTGATCTCTCCAGGGGCAGGTGTGGATAGATGACGGAAGCCAGGAGTTGCCCAAGCAGCTGGCTTTGTGAGCATGAGCCTTTGGCCTCTACCCGGTGACCTTCCAGGCATGATTGGATCTGCGTCCGTGAAGAGTAATCCTGTGTAGCTCGCAGGGTCATGGAAGCAGTCCAGCCGTCACACCACGTCAAAGTACAGTCTCCTTGTAATGCTGAGGTTAGGCGTAGAGATTTAGGCTATCCCGGTTGGCCACTAGAGCAAGTGGTCAACCTCCATAGATTACGCTGGCGGGGACATGTGCTGNGCTGCACATGTCAGCAAACAGATTGCTATGGCGCGCGATATCTGCCGAGGCAGGTAGCGGATGGAAAAAGGTCAGGGCGATCAAACTGAGGCCTGGCATGAGGGTATAAAAACCCTAACCAGGACACGGTCACAGGCTCCCTGGATCGGGACCGCAAGATTATGGTAACCGGTGGTTACAGACATTGAGTGATTGAGGGGTCCTGCGAACAGTGGCGCTCGTGCATCCACTCAATATTGTCGCAACCCGTCTAAATTAAGTCTCCACCTTTCCCTGGAATTAGCTCCCAACATGTAAATCTTCATTCCGCTCTTTTGCCTAAATGGGCGGCCAAAAGAAAGTTAAACAAAACCGGCGTACTGAAGTGCATGGTTAATGGTTGTAGCAACTGGAATGAAACTATGCATTTGAAAAGAATAAGTTGGATAAACGGCAATGGGCAGTGTTCAAGTTTTGCGGTTCGGATAAAAAGAGGAATGGAAAATCGACGTCCGATATCTCAGGAAAAACCTTGATAGGGGTGACCGTTCACCTAAGAATGAAGTGAAGAAGA